CCAATTTCTCCACATCACATCCTTACTAACATTTGTTATTTGTTGTTTTTCTTTAAATAGTAGTCATCCTAATAGATGTGAGCTGGTATCTCCTTATAATTTTGATTTGCATTTCCCTAATGGTTAGTAATATGAAGCCTCTCTGTTCATGTGCTTATCGGCCATTTGTGTTTCTTCTTTAGAGAAATGTATCGGCTGCTCTTTAATAATAATAATAATAAAATCTTGCTGATTCCTCTTCCTCTTAGCCTTATAGCGTAGGGATATCATTATTGGAACTCTTCTCTTTCTACATTCATTAACTTAGTGATCTAAGCAGCTCTATAGCTTAAAGTAATGTCCACCTGATGACCACTTTCGAATGTTATCTTCAGTCCAGAACTAGCTTCATTTCTCACTGATGCACTTGGATGTCTAATAAGTATCTCAAGCTTGATATGCTGAGTTTCTTGTCCTCCCCCCAAATCTACACCTTCCACAGTTTCCTCCATCTCAGTTGAACCATCTTTGAGATATTTGAACTATCTTTCCATTGGTTCAAGGCAAAACTCTTACTGTCATCCTTTACTTCTTGTTTTCTAATACCCCATCAACAAAATGTGTGAGAGCTATCTTCAAACTACATAGAAACCTGACCTTTCTGTGGCCACCACTCTAGTCCAAGTTAACAGCATCTCTTACCTGGTGTATTGCAATGACCTCCTAACTGACTTTCCTACTTAAGCCTTGCCCCTTTCAGTCTATTGATAAACTGGCTGCAGAGTGACCTGTAAAATTAGAGTCCAATCAGGTCTTCCAGCACATCTTCTACCGAAAACCTTCCATACTATCCTTAGCAAAAGCCACATTTCTAACAATGCCTATAAAATCTCTTTCTTGTATGCATACCTGGTTAAGTACATCCCTGCTTCAGGGCCTTTGTGTTTGTTGGTCTCCCTGTATAAAAAGTGATTTTTAACCGTTTACTTTGTGCCATGGAGCCCTTTGGCAGCCTGATGCCTATGATTGCCTTCTGAGTACAATTTATTTAAATTCATATAAAATAAGTTACATAAATTATAAATAAAACCAATTATATTAAAATACAACTCAAAATATTTTAAAATGCATAATATAGGGTTGTGTAAATTACAAGAGCTGAAACAGCATAAGTAGTGATGAATGGAATGATATTTTAAGATACTTGCAACAACTGTAATGTGATACGAAAATATCTGATATATACTAGTAACAATGTCACAAGTGCTGATAATTTTGCTATGGTTTGCTATGTGCATTCATAATACATTACTGTGTAATTAGTGAAATAAATATATGATTTTTTTTCTCATCGAAGGTCAATCCCCTCTGAATTTTATCCACAGAACTATGAAGAGGGTGTCTGTGGATCCTGGGTTAAGAACCTTTGACTTAGATGCTCACCCCTCCTAAATCCTCACTACTCACTCCTTCTCCTTCTACTCAAAGACCTCTTCCAAGAGACTTTTTAACTGTGTATCACCACTGGACTCCACCTTCCAGATGCCCCTTTCCTACTTAATTTTTCTCCACAGCATTTACTCGCCTTCAAAAATATTTATTTTACTTAAAAAAATTGTGTAACGGCTTCACTGGGAAGTGAGTTCCAGGAAAGTAGGCATTTTTCATATTTGTGTCCCTACCACCTAGAATGGCTCGTGGCATATAGAAGACACTCAATAAATATATCTGTTAAAGAAATGGAATAATTACATCTTTAAGAACTGTTTCTTAAAAAAAAAAAAAAAAGACCTCTACGTTTCTTATCCTTTTGTGGAAAAAGTTAATGATTTGTGAGACTTTTAATACAAGATTAGGAGCTATAATTAGCTTTATTGCTATCATTCTGTTAACATTTCCAAGGTTAACCTTAAACAGTAACAGAGAACTGTAGGAATCTGGGGGCTCTGATGGAACTCTGGTCCTAAACAACTTGTACCTGCTAATGACTGCTTAGGAAACAGACTTGCCCACCTCTGAGGCAGTGTCGCCCTTAAATTTTTTTCTTGCTCATACGGAAATCAGGTCCTGCCTCCAATCAAACAACAATAGTAATACGTTTTATTTCTGGCAGTGTGATAAAATGATAAACACAAAGGTCTCGGGATCAGCTGGACAAGGTGCTAATTCTGCCACCTCTTACTGACCATGTGACTGCCGGTAAGTCACTAAATCTTTCTCCACAGGCAAGATGTGGGTTTTGGGAGGATGAAAAGGGATGACTCCTACAGTGCACAAAGCACAGAGCAGGAGCTCTGTAATGGCCAACCCCTCCCTTTTCCATCTTTCTAGGTCATTTTATAACTGCTCACCCAGCTCCATAGGATCCTGATGGCTAGGAGGAGACTGACCAGTCCTCTCCAGCCTGTGAACTGTTAACTAGACTCAACCAGACCCCTTGGGCTGTGGACTGTAAAGTGATACCTTGTTACTGCTTCAGATGTGTGGCTGAGGCTGCCATCTGGGCCATCACTTTGAAGCCCACCATCATCACAGTTTTTTTTTTGGTTTTCCCTTTTGCCCATGCTGGGAGGTCTGTCTATATCCTTACAGAGGGTAAGACAGAAATCATTGTCTCCCCGTTGTTCAGTGTCACGAGGACCACATTCCCACTGGAGAAAGTGCTAATGTGCACTGGGCATCAGGCTGTTCCACACACATAGCAGGCGTATACATATACTCACAGATGTGTATGTGCACATCCGTGGGAATTCTCTAGCTTCCCCATTCAACAGAAAGGGAAGATAACCCAGAGAGATGAATTATCTTACCCATATCATGCAACTTCTGAACTGCAGGGCAAGGATTAGAATCCAGGCATTTGAATGATTTTGTGACATGTTTCCAGGAACTACACTTGGGCTTGGGAAAATCCAACCAACTGACCACACCAGGTGTAACTGAGAGGTGATACTTAGTCTCCCTATCTTGCCAGACAAGCTTCCCAAACTTTGTGAATGAAGGCCAAGGAAGAGAAATGTTGCAGTGACTCCCTCTGAGCTCATATTTCTTTCTTGTTGCAAAAAGTGCTTATTTCAGCATCCATCATCTCCCTCTTTTGTTGTGTAGACAATTCACCCTGTCGGAGGATTTGTGCTGTTATTATGAGTTTGTTTATTATTAGATTTATTTCTTCTATAAGCAAATGTGTTCACAACATTCCATCGGGGAATCTTCTTAATTGTCACATAAATGTCATCTTATGTAAATTGAATATTTATCTTTCCATGGAAGGGGGTGGAGTGGAAAGGAAGAATAAACAACCTTCAGTCTTGGAGAGGGAAGGCAGTTCCTGTCCCAGTTCACAACTCACCCACGTGTCTTCAAAGCCAAAGGTGAGCAGACAAAATTATTGGATCATCTCTGAGAGACAACCAAAAGGGAGAGGGGAGAAAAAGTTGGCACTGATATTTGGGGGTATTGAGCCAGGCTCACAGGTCTCCCCTCCTAAACCACACAAGAGACCAGACTACCCTCGGCTAAGCTGAAAGCATCCAGAGAAGGCTGCAGTTTGCCCCCTAAACCTCCCCATCCAGGAGCCAGCCCGACTCCTTCCTCGAGAGAAGGTGAGCACAGCGGGCGCAGCGGGCTGGGTGGGTGTGGCCGGCGGCTCCGGGAACCGACCCAAGGCCCCGCCACCGCCGGTGATCCGCCCGCCAGCCAGCCCGCCTGGCGAGCGCAAGCTCTTCTTCCAGAAACTGCGAGGATCCGAGCGCACTGTTTGTGCACCACAAGGTCAAGTCGGGAAGTGGAGCCGGAGGAGGAGGGGCGAGAGGCGAAGGGTGGGGAGAGGGGCGCCCCGTTTCCTCGCCAAGTGCCAGCCCAAGGAAGTTGCCCCTCGGTTTTTAACCCTTTACGGGGAGTGGGAAGGTCGAGCTAGGAGGCAGGAGATACCCGGGGGCAAACTCCTACCGCGGCCAAGAAGAGCAGCCAGCCAGCCACCCACCCATCACCGCGTTCCTCATCCCCCGGAAATGCGGGGCAGAGCTGGGCGCCAGGAGGCACCCGGGCTGGGGGAGGGGGCGACGAACTCGAGAGAGACCCTCTTTAACGACCGCCCCCGCTTTCTAGAGGTCGCCCACAATTTCAAGTTTCCCCAGCCTGGGATGTTAGTTTCCATCTGCTGTGGGTGGGGGAGGAGAGCCGCGCCCCCTCCCCCAGACTTGCGCGCGCCCCTCCCCTCTGCTCCTGCCAGCACTTTCTGCTCACTTCTGGCGCTGCAAAACGCCACGCGATATGTTCGGTTCGCTTTTTTAAACCACCGATTCAGAAGCAGGGCCTAGGGCGAGGGTCTTCCAGTGCTGGAGCCCCGGGAGTCGGGGTGCTCAGAGCAAACCTCGTTCCCTCCGCGAGTGTCGCCTCCAGGCTGTTATTTGCAAAGAAACGTCTTTTTGACGCAGGGAGAAATGGCAAATTTTAAGTACGTCATTAATATGGCGCCAAAAGATTTTTTTAAGTGTAAGCCTGCCTTTTTTTTTTTTTTTAAGGTTGCGGGGGGCGCCGCCCGGGTCTGGGGCGCGAAGGGGGCGGGGTGTGAGCAGAAAGTGTGAGTGAGAGAGTGGAGGGGCGGGGTATGTGTGTGAGTGTGTGAAGTGTGAGCAGACCTGATGGGACTTGCACGGGCACAGCCGCCGCTCAGCCCCGGCCCTGGGGACTGGGCGGTCTGGGGGCGCCCCAGAGCCGGTGTAGAGTCCGGGCCCGAGGTGCAGGCAGGCGGCCGGTCCGGCAGAACACCCTTATCCTGGGGCCTGCAACGCTACCTGGACCCGCTGCTAAAGCCAAACAACTGCGGGGGGCGGA